ATTTTTCGAGATCAAAGTCATTGGAGGCTGTTCTTCTTATTTTCATTTTTGCACTAAAAATTCATTTGTACGTAAAAATGAAAATAAGAGGTATAACTTCCAATGGTCTTGATCTTGATAAATGTTATCCAGGTCATGATCCTGAATAAAATTCTTGAGGTTTTAGCCGTCGGTCGGACATCTTGGGTAATGTTAGTGTCGACGGTACTATAACTTTCAAGCCTTATAATTCGCAAAGTATTTAATGAAAAAATATTTTATTATAGTGTTTTGAAAAGCTCTCAAGGTAAGTTACAAGAATATATAATGAAAAATGGAAGGTTCCATTTAAAAAATTTGAAGTGACCTTGCCCTGACCTTGACAACGCCACTCAAGGTCAAACCAATGATACCATTTTATGTCCCCCTCGAAGTCACAAAACATTTGTTTGAAACATTTTTCTCTAAAATGCACTATTCAAGAGAAATTTGAGGTTGTCATTTAAAATGGGGCACCCTGTATATTCGAAAATTTCTGAAGAAGTCTGTTATTTTTTGCTGTAACGAAATGATTATTTTTTATTATAAGGAAATTATAGTGCGTGACTACGAAAATTATGCACGTTTAATTTTGATGTATGCGTCTTGAATACCGAACAGAGTTTATGTACAAATCGAGTTATTAAATCCTTATGCGCGGTATACATGTACAAACATGTGTAGCTATGTATAAAACACAAGAGCTAGGAAACAATATCACGCAACGCTGTGCGCAAATAAGTTTACAGCGCTGCTTATAACATTGCGTTATTACACATTAGAATATTAATTCTGTCTAATATTTAGAAATTAGCCGATGCTCAAGTCTCACTCTATCGACTCAACTTCGCTAGAAATATTATTAGTAATTTTTACTTTTGTGAAAATTGATCAAATTATATTAGTGCAGGTATATCATACAATTTATTATTATTATTATGCAATTTCACATTATCGTTATCTATTATTATCATTATTTTAATAACATATGGATTTAACAGTTAAGGTCCAGTTTCACAACTCATGATTAACTCTTAACCGCGAGATTCAACTTATTCATTATCTCTTTCCAATTCTAAAATTGAAAGAAGATGAGAAATAAGTTAAACCTTGGTTAAAAGTTAATCGTGAGTTGTGAAACTGGGCCTTAGTGTAGATTTTGTTTTTTAACTTTTACCAGACTATGCCTATAAATTAATATTTTCTAAAAATATGTGTTTACCGATATTTTAACAAAATAAATGTAGTAATTAAACTGAATTTGTTGAAATTATTGGGTGGTGAATCTGTAAATAAGATATGGCTATAGGGGGAGGGTTATGGTTTATTTAATAAATCTAGATAGTTTTTTTCTTCGGAATTACAGAGCATTTTCTCTAAAAACAATTACGTTATATGCTCCAAAATGATAATCCTTAGAAAGTGCGGTGAAATTTTCTCTTCCTTGATGTTTTCAATGTCTGAACCCATCATTTGAATAGAGCTTAATGCAGTCGTATATAGAATAATTACTCTTAATATATTAAATGATAATATATTAAATGATAAATTTGCGGATTAAGAATTAAATTAATTAATTTTCTCTCAGTGCTGGAGATAGATGATGATATATCTGCCAGAATTGAAGTTTACATATATTAACTTATGTAATATTGTAAATCTTTATCAATCTTCTTCATATTTTATATATTATGGATTTATATATATATATATACATATATAAAATTACATCAACATTTATTTTATAAGACTTATATAAGATTATAAATCCCAAGCTTGACTTCTCTCCTAGAATGAATTTATAGCACATAATTATATAATAACATTTTGTTATTTCTATAAATCTACAAACATTTTATTTTTTAAATTCCTAATTAAATATTTAATTAACGGTTTATTCTTAATTAAATATTTTTAATTGAAAATAAAATTTTAATTAAGTAAACTTTTAATTTTTAGTTAAGAGTTAACTTTTAATTAATTTTTTAATTTAAACTGATCTTATAATTTTATTCGTTTTTATATTGAAGATACAATTTTATAAAATTCCATAAAATTCGACTTTTTATAAAGAAATTGGTAACTTATAAAGAATTTAGTTCTATATATGAGATTATACTCTATGATTTTTTAATTGCTTCCTTGAAAATTAATGCTCTTTTATATAATACGTTGATATATGTATTTCATAGATGGACAATATAGATATAGACAGAATTAATCTCGGACAGAACGAAGTAAAAATGTTCATGGAATTCATCTCTCTTGTTGTTTTGATTAAACGAGCTTCGTATTTCTATGCAAATTTCCATACGTTTTCTTTACCGCGACATAAATGTACGTCCGTACGCAATTTTTTGCGCGGCATAATTCATGAAAAAGGAAGAGAAAGAATTTCATACACATTTTTATGATTTCTTAAGCATACGTTAAGAAAAAGAAGAGCACATATGTATATAGAACAAATGCATTTCAATGATAAAGTATTTTTTTATCTCAGTGGAGGATATTTAAAAAATGTGTCATGTATATTTTTTACTTTAGTCTCTTTTTGTCTGAGGAGATCGAAGAAATGGTGATAATATACATTTGTATGTGCATTTATCGCATATATTTAGCTTAGTCACTTTTTATCTGCAGTAAACCGCAGAAATTGTCATAATGTTCGGCGCATGCAAAACTAGGGCACGAACATAGGTCACGAATCGTAGGATTTTTATCAAAGCAGCAAAACACATTTTACCATATATGTTTTTTCATGGCATTTGCTGTATGTGAATATGCTTCGAATGAGATTATGCTTTTGAGAACATAAATATATTTTAATACCTATGCGTATATATTCCGAGGCACTTTGTCCGATAAGAGTAAGGAAATTTGTCCTATTCTAGGTATGCAAACAAAAAAAACCGGCAGCGATCTATTTTAGCTAGTTAGTTATAGTCGCAGTTGCTTTTAAAAAGTTCGCTTTAAACGCGTGTTCTCCTTCGCACATTCGGAGAAAACTTTCATCGCCTGCTTGCATGTGCGTCGCCAATTAAATTTGCATCTTTGTACGCTTATGGTCGTTATAATCGCGCAATATATCATCAGTACGCGAATTCATCGCTTCAAACGGCATCTCTCTCCGTTCTCCCATAAAATCTTCATACAAAGGTAAATTACGATACACGACTACTCCTGATTCTCGGCGACACGAACGTCTGGCAGACGTCGCGCTTGAAATAGTATAATAGCTCCGGAAATCGCATGTTACTGCACCGAATATTGCAAAGGCAACATGTAAGGGAATTCCGATTTTTATGCTGGTGAAATGGGATAAGGGGGTAAAGAACACGCCCTGATGTTGATTCGATCCAGTCGTAATCAACGTTAAGAGTTGGTTGCACTGACACGACCTAACTCTCAGAAAATTAGTTTTAGCTTGGATTAAATAAATTTTTTTTCTTCGTATATAAACGAAACGTAATAACAAAAAAATGAGACATTAAATGTAAATCCTTCTTCATTTGAATTCCTCTCAATTCGAATAAATATAATTATTGCGATGCCAGTTAAGAAAGCTGTTTTGAATGTTCTTGACAAAAAATTGCAGAGCATATTACTAACATGAAACGATTATTTATATAATCGATAATCAAATTATAAAGACATTCGCGTGTTTCTCGTGAGCGAGGCAACTGTATGCAGATGCAAATTTTGCACTGCACAAAGACGCATTGACAAGAAAAGGCGCCAAATTAAGTTTTGAAAATCAATTCTCCAATTATAGCACCAATTGCGCGTGTGCTCACTTCAGTTATAATAGATTTACTTTCTTCCGAAATGTACTGCATATCAATTTAGAGAAACCATATCATACAATTTCTCTGAAACCATTGGTTGAATCGGATAGTTGTTTATTTCTCGAAATCAGTACGTATCTCTATTTTAGCATTGAGATATCGATCGTGTAATATTTTCTCTAGGAAACGTGTAAAGTGAAAATTTTCTCTATTAACTTTAATGTAAAAATTTTTTTACATTTTTATTGTAGAGAAGAATAACATGATTAAATATCTTGTTTTACCTTAGAATGCTATTGCTATTGAGT